CAAGAAGCCGGTGAAGGGCAATGGGTGACGGAGGTAATGTCCCGATTCCCTCTCTTTCTTCCCCATCCTCTTCTTTCGCCTCCCTTCCTGACAAATTTTGCTTTTTCTGTGAGGCAATTTCTCGAGTCTATTCCGTCCACATGTGTCCAAAAGGGACGGGATATGGTGAATCGGTAGATTGTCGGAAATGTATCGCACGTGCTCACGGTGCGTGCATACAGTATCGGAGTAGTGATAGACCCTGGTTCTGTCCCTTATGTCGCACTGACAAGATTCCGACGGAAGCCCGATTCCTCGATGCCACGTCGGAAGGCCCCGACAAAATAAGTTTAAAAGAGCGGAAGTCTGGACAGATGTCGCCTTGATAGCCACGGTGGTAGGCAACTCCCTCGAAACCTTCTCCAAGGAGGATCGGAGGAGGGCCAATGAAAGAGCACGGGATCACCGATGGGTGGATGGACGGTTAGAGAAGTGTAAAACGGACGGCAGTGGAGCATGGTTAGTAGTTCCACACCCGTTCATGCGGTACGACTGGGTACGAACCGCCCACGAGGAAACGGCGGCGCATTTTGTCGTGCGTATTACCGAAGCTGCGATTGACAGAAATCAACGGTACTGGTCCAATATCCGAGACGACGTTAAATTCATCGTCCAACACTGCCAGGTCTGCGCTGCTGACAAGGCCCCAACCCAACCGCCTAGGTCGATAGTCCCAACTGCGGTTGAAAGGCCGTTTCAAAGGGTTAGTATGGATACTACTGATATAGTGGTGCCCCCTGGACCGAATAGTTGCGACTGTTCAATTCTGCTGGTTTTCGTCGACCACTTTTCTAAGTGGATCGAGGCCTACCCCTGCAGGACACGACAAGCCGCGGAAATCGCGCGGTACCTCAACCGTTTTCTGGGCATGCACCAGGACACAGAGGAGATCCTGACCGACAATGGGGTCGAATTTTGAGGAGAAGTCGAGAGGAACCTGGTCATACACGGCGTCTCCATACAGCACACGGCCCTGCACATGTCCCAGTCTAACGAATTAGTGGAAAACGCGAATAGGGTGATAAAAACGGCCTTGCGGCGGAATATTGCGGCACGAGAGCCCCGACCCTGGCCTGATATTGTTGACCACATCTTGGCGGTCCATCGCGGAACGCCCCACGAATCCACGGGCCTGAGCCCCTTCCAGTTGTGGACCAATAGTGTCCCGTGTGTATCGATATCGAGCCTCCCAGACGAATCAGGACTCAACCGATGCCCCACAAGGGCCACCGCTCGGGACAAAGCCAAAAGGCACCTGGAACTCATGGAGCGGTCCCTACCTAGATTGGCCCGGAAGCGCCAGCGGTCCACCAAATTGGCCCATGGCCGACAAGTCCGGAGCTACGAGGCCCGGAACGGGAATGCGGGTCCCAGGACCCAGTATAAGTTAGGGGACATCGTGCAGGTAAGGAAATGTGCGCGCCATGGTAAACTAGCGCCACGATTCTTCGGGCAGTATCGAGTGATTCAACTCGGACCCAACGGTGCGGACACCATGCGCCTCGCTACTGAGATTTCCGGCAGTCGATCGGCTCACCTGATCACACGCCACGTGTCCTATCTCCGTCTTCTTCCCTCTGTTCCGTCTCCTTTCCCATCAACCTCTCCCGACGACGACTCTATCTCCTCTGCATCTCCTTCTGCTTCTCAATTTCTGCCGGATATGCCGTCACCCTCGCCATCGCCATGAGCTTTATGGAGGAGAGAGCTCTAAGTGAAGAAGCACTGGTAGCACGGGGGAATTTGACACTGCGGCAGGTGTTTCATCCTCGTCTTAGTCCGGACCTTCAGCGGGCTGCGCAATTCTTCTGCTCGAAGGGCGTCTACGCGGCAGCAGAGATCCACGTCGACGGGAGGGCTGACGCGATCATATTGGCCAAAGCTGTCGGGTTGCGACAGCGAACATCTGTGGACGTCGGTTAGATAACGGTGGTGGTTAACCTCAGTGGGGATCTCACGACGATCCCCCCCATCCGACACACGAGAATCAAGGCGACGTTGCTTCTATGGGCGCACAATCTTCAGAACGAGTGGACCCAGATCCTGGCGCACCAAGGGGACGTGATCGCACCAATCCGAGCGATCGAATACAACGGCCTTCGGCTGGATAGGCGTGACTCGTGGACGCAATTACCCCCTCTCATCCCCTTCTATCCCCGATGAGTTCCTTCCCGATCTCTACTTTCGAGCTTCCTTTTTCCTTTTGGCAGTCCGATCTTCATCCCCACCTCTCCTTCTGCATAGATCCTTTGGTTGTTCCCCTCCTTGATCCCTCTCAGTGGGACGCGTGGCGCGGAGACTTCATCGAACTCTCACTGTGTTTGGCGGAAGTACGAGTGACGTGGACGAGGGACGAGAGCAATTATCCGCGGTCTTAGCGATTGGAGCTCCTTTTGATTCAGGCGTGGCGGACGGAAGTAGAAGGGGACCTTCTCGGTTTTCTATTCGGGGCAGTGCGTCCAGGCTATCGGAGGCTTCTCACCCAGGAGCTTACGGTCCCAATTGCGCAGCTGGCTGACCATCTTGACATCAGCATTGTCTCCCAGGTCGACCCGCAGTTGGTGCCCCACGTCACCTCGCGCACGTTGTCGCCGTATCTTCAGTGGTCAGCTTGCGTGGAGGGCTTCCCATCGAGAATTCCGCCTTCACGGTTGGATTACTTGGATCTGCGCGACATCGTGGATCCTACTTTCTACAGACCGCCGTGCGAAGACGAATTGGAGGAGATAATCCGCGAGGAGCTCGCGGAAGAAAGTTCGGAGGAGGAGGAGGAGAATCTGAACGAAGACGAAGGGAAGCCGACACAGCACCAAGAAGGAGACGAAGACGAGGTCCTGCAAACGGAGAGCGAAGAGGAAGCAGAAGAAGAAGACAATGAGCAGGGGAGCGGTGATGACAACGACGAGGAGCAGGCCAACGAGGATCCCCAGCTAGAAATTGCGCCGGTTGCTGATCTTCCGATCAGCAACGATCCAACGCTCGACCCGAAGCCACCTCAGCCAGACGACGGCCATGTGGCCCAGGTGGTTGGGCCGTCCGCTCGCCGGCCTCCTTCCCCACCGCGACGCCGACAACGAAGCCGCTCCCCCTCCGCCTCCCTCTCCCTCACAGCCCGTTGTGAGGAAACCCGGGGAGGGGCTACCTACCGTTCGCTGAAGCCATGGGCTACGGCGCCTGTCACTTCGCCGCGCCCGCCTCCGAGGTTCTCAGCGACCAGTAGGGGTTGACTCTTGTGTGTCCTGTCACGCACCCTGTTCTTTTTCCCCCTTTTTTTTTTTTTGTAATTCCTTGAGCTTACTCCGCGGTGAGCTTCGTAGTCAGCAGGTGATTAGGGAAGGTTGGATAGCAGCGAGTACGTCAGTTAACTRATTATCCAGCAGAATCACTAAGCGGCGATTTTATACAATCAACAGACGAGTGGCTAATCYCGCATAGCGACAAGTTTTCAGACCAGCGAACTTTCTCAGTTAACAGGCGAGTGACCAGGTTCTCATATCAGCAAGTTTGCAGTAAACTGATAAACCAACCAAGTTGTAGACTAGCGAATCTTCTCAAATGATACTCTATCACCCTTCAGAGATGGGATGCGCGTTTTCCTGCCTCTCTCTCTCTTCCTCTCAGTCTCTGTCTCCCTCTCTCTGCGTGTGCCTG